AGCAATTCTCTACTGTGTTCAAATTTGACAATGTAGTATGACAGGATATAAATCATAGAGAAATGCCGATGACTTTTTAGGATGGAGGCACTGAAGAGAGGGGGTGGAATTATTGTTACTAAATAATAATACTTAGTAAAATAACAAAATAATTTTAATGTTTAATATCAATTCAAGTAAATTTACAGCTTTCAGTTTGAAGTATTCTGGATTTAATTAGTTTAGAAATATCAATCATTGTATGTATTTAACAGAGGAAAATGTTTTAGTTCTGGTCCCCTCCAGTGTTTTTTTTTCTGAAAAGTATTTCCTTATTAACTTTTCCTCCGAAATAAAACGGTTCTCAGAACTTCGAAACCTATTTTCATTATTGAATTATTTTACCATCCGAAAAATAGTTTGTAGTAGCTAAAAGTACAGTTGCATTCTTAAAAAATATTAATTCACATTAAAAAAAACATTTAATTTTATTATTTTTACAACTTTCTAACATTTTTTATTACTGAATATAGCTTTTAAGTAAAATTATGAACAAAAAACAAATTTTGGTCTAATATGTTATATAAAAGTTTGCCAAAAAGTTTAGAAAAATTTTAATTAACAAGAAATCAATTCAATTCTGCAAAGAAAGCATGCATTTGCATACAGATCCGTGCCTTAATTTATAACACATTGTCATAAACAAGAAAACCAGCATTTAGACCGCGTCAGAAGCAGGATTTATTATTATTACAATCTTGAAATAACAAATTGTTATTTTTATCATATAGTCGTTATTGCATTCACTAATCTTCTACTAACCCTCTACCGTTCGAAAGTATGTAACATATATATAGTTTTCAAGTATGGCGGCTCAAATCATTCGGTGAAATTCCATCAGTGATTTGAAACGATTTCAACTTACAATTTTGACAAATTATGGTACTAAATATTCTGCCCGTTTGAAACTATATGAGTGCCTTCATGTCAAAGATGGACATCTGTCGTTATCTGAAAGTGGCGTAAAATGGAATTTTTCTTTTATAGGTTAAGCTCAAACCATTTTTGATGATGATATTTAATAATGTGGTATCAAGAAAAAAAAATCATTATAATTGGTTTAAATTGAGCTATATTTCAGAAAATTTGCTTTCTCTCAAATTTTAAAAGATGACAAATGCCCATCTTGGATATTAAGGCACTTATAACACTTATATATGCATTCTGGAATTCCATCCCACTAAAAATCCGCAATGCATCATCTTTATCCACCTTTAAAACCCTCTTATTCCAATTCCTCTTCACAATCCACTCAAACGCTGGTTAAACACATACTATGTAGTAAGGCTTTAATTTTCTTTAGACATTTTTTTTCTCGTATTTTTTATTGTGTTATTCTGTGTTGAACGTGAACTTTCATCACCACTCACAAAGCATTGCAAGTAGATAAAATTTGTTTTTCTCAATTTCTAATTTTTTTATTCATGAGATTGTATTTCTTTGAAATGTATTTTATTTTCTAATTATCTTCGACACACTCCTCACTATCTGCATATACATATATATATACACTTTTTTTTTTTCTTCTCCTTATCTTTACACGGAATCACTTAAATATCTTAGGGAACATATGTCTATCATTTTCCAAAATGATATGGCTCCAATATTGTAGTATTGAACCCTTATTACCAAACTGTTCTCGTTAATTTATCCTAAGAGCTATTATACTTAATTTATTACTAGTATTTTTTTATTATTTATTGTAATTGGTCTTTTGGCCAGATTTATGGTTAATTTATATGAACAATATTGTTATTCTAACTAGACCTAGTCCCAGAATAAAGATGATTTTTCTATTTCTATAACGAATTTCGAGCTTTGAAATTATTTTTAAAGTTGAATGACTCAGTAACTCAAAAAACTCTCTTAAGTGTGATTGAATCAATTTATGTTCCAAAATACCGGGAAGACATTTTATTATATTTGAAGTGTTCTCGATTTAATATTGTATCCATAATTTATTATATTCGAATGGGTTTATGATAAACTACCGTGAAACTACATGAAAATAATTATAGGTGACGCGAACGCAAAGGTAGGAAGGGAAGAAGTTTATATTCCGACGATTGGTAAAGAAAGTTTGCACGAATATAGTAATGATAATGGGATCCGTCTGATAAACTTTGCCATCTCGAAAAACCTGATAATTAAAAGTACGACGTTTAAACATAAGGATATTCATAAATATATTTGGACATCACCGGATTCGCAAACACGAAATCAAATAGATCATGTCTTGATACAACACAGCTGGCAAAGCAGTATAATCAATGTACGGTCTTATCGCGGAGCAGAATGTGGGTCGGATCATGAATTAGTAATCGAGAAACTTCGACAAAAACTTAATATAAAAAAGAGAAAAGAAAACCGTTTCGATTTTGAGAATTTTAATTTGGAAAAATTAAAAAATCCATCAATTAGAAACCAATTCGAGCTAGATGTTAAGAATAGGTTTGAAGCTTTAGAGCTTCCTGACGAGGACCACGAGGATATTGACAAGTTATGGGTAGAGATCAGGGATAATATAAAAGCGGTCGGTAACTCGTGCCTAGGAAAAAAGGAAACTAAGAATAACAAACCGTGGTTTGATGAAGATCGCTTAAACATGTGCGAAAAAAGAAAAGCCGCTAAATTAAAAGCTCTAAATAATCCTAGCGAAGACAATCTGGAATACTTCCGAATCTCAAAGAACGAAACGACAAAATTGCTCAAAAATAAAAAAAGGGAGTATCTTAAAAATAAAATAATTGAAATAGAAACTAATAGAATCGAAAATAACGTAAGAGACATGTACAAAGGTATAAACAGATCACGTAAATATGTAGGGCCCGTAACGTCTGGAATTAGGGATGATAATAACAATATTCTGACCGATCCGGTTGACATATTGAATAAGTTTAAGGACCACTTTGACAATATTTTAAATACGGGAAATTATGATCTGTGTCCTCCTTCTGAGTACCAGAGTGCTGAACCGTTAATAGAAGGACCAAGTAAAGAGGAAGTTGAAGTAGCTATCGGAAAATTAAAATCATATAAAGCAGAGGGAATCGATAATATTCCTACTGAACTAATTAAGGCATGCGGGGGAAGCTGGAGTTTCTAAAATACATCGGTTGGTTAAAAAGATCTGGGTGAACGAGAAATTACCTGAAGAATGGAAAGAATCTATTCTTATTCCGATTCACAAAAAGGGTCCGAGGACGGATTGTAATAACTATCGAGGAATTTCACTCCTTCCGGTATGTTATAAAATATTCACTTCAATCTTAACCAGTCGAATCACGGAATACGCCGAGGAAATTATCGGAGACTACCAATGCGGATTTAGACGGAATCGTTCGACTATTGATCAAATATTTTCTTTACGGCAAATATTAGAGAAAAAATTGGAGTACAAAGGTATTGTTCACCAGCTGTATATAGATTTTAAAAAGGCTTACGATTCTATTGACCGCCAGAAACTGTATCATATTCTAATCGAGCAGGGGATTCCAAAAAAACTAGTAAATCTAGTCAGGATGTGCTTGACGGAGACACTCAATAAAGTTAGAATCGGTAATAATTTGTCCGAAAAATTTCGTTCGGGCTTAAAACAGGGGGATTCACTTTCGCCTGTCCTGTTCAATTTGGCATTAGAACATGCCATTAGGGAGGTAATGCGAACCGAGAAAGGGTTGGATCTGGGAGGGACAACATCCGTGCTGGGCTATGCTGATGATCTGGTACTGTTAAGCGAAGACGTTGAAACTATAAAACTAAATACGACAACGTTAATGAAAGCCGGGAAAGAACTAGGACTCGAAATAAACGTGGATAAAACAAAATATATGGTTAGCTGCAAAAATGGCGATACTACTGGTGACATCGATATAGATGGTAATATGTTTGAACAGGTAGATAAATTTAGGTTTCTAGGTTCAACGATAACTAGAAAAAACGAAATTGAAGAAGAGATTAAAGTTAGACTGAAGGCGGGAAATGCTTGTTATTTTTCTGTGACAAAACTACTTAGTTCGGGCCTCTTGTCCCGGAACTTAAAAATTAGAATCTATAAAACAATTATCTTGCCTACAGTTCTTTATGGATGCGAAACTTGGCCACTTACATTAAGGGATGAGCAGCGTCTTAAGGTTTTTGAAAATAAAGTATTGCGTAGAATATTCGGACCGAAGAAGGATGAGTTAACCGGAGAGTTCAGACGGCTACACAACGCCGAATTGCGTGAGCTGTATCCGGGTAATATAATTGATGTAATTTCATCGCGGCGAATCAAATGGGCTTGTAAAGTTGTTGGGCTTAGTAACGAGAGAATTCCTAAAAGGTTAATATTTGCTGTGCCGAATGGTAAGCGTCCGAGGGGTAGACCAAAGCGAAGGTGGGAAGATTGCATTAAAGCCGATCTGAAGGGACTGGGTTTGGACGGCGAACGGTGGAGGGAGGTGTGTAACAAGCGATTGGTGGTGTCGGCATCGAACCTTCGGGTTCGCTAAGCCTTATTATTTATTTAATTTATTATATATGGAAGTTTGTTTATAATAATTTGTTGTTTTTCAGTAGGTAATAGAAATGTACATTGTCAATATTGAAAAGGTAATAAATGTTGGAATGTACTTGTTTATTTACTTCTTAAACAAATTAATGGATTGTTGAGGTTAATTTCATTGAATATCAAACAGTGTAGTTAGTGGATGTTCCTTCCTTTACAGCTGTTTGAATGTTTTGGTTCATGCATCTATGCACAACAGCATTCAGAAAGCTCTCTGTATCTGTGCGTGTATAATCTATAGAGTAAATTAAAACATTGTTAAAACGTTGATTTTTCAATTTGGTTCGATTCTGGAATGCATAAACCTTCAATATTAACAAACTTTCAACACTAACAATCTACCAATATGTTCTAATAGATATGAAGCATATTCCATCCGGACGAATAAAGATATTTCCGTAGAAGATTTGTTTTAAATTAAACTATTTTTTTAAAATTATGATATGAAATTCAATTGAACATCTGGGTATCAACAACTATTATGTATTTTTAAGTTAAGGTTACATATGTACTGTTTATTGCAGCATCGATAAACTAAAGTTTCACATTATTTTTCTAAGAACACGGCTCTCGACCCTGCTGTTTTCTAGGTAGATTATCTTTCATTTTTTCATGATCAGATTGTCACCACATTTTCATAGTTTAATTTAGTATCTGAGATATTTTAATTTATAATGTCAACGAGCCCTCAATCACAAAGTAGCAGAGCGAATCAAGAAATGATGAACCAAGCGAGAAGAAAAGCGGAGTTCACTTCAGATCCGCTCGAGAAGTTGCGTCTTCTTTGCTTGTCCAAGGGATCCGAGGGTGTTCTCGAGTTCGGTAGAGTGTTCAGAAGAAAAGAAAGTGATGATTTAAGTTTAGAGGAATTTACAGAAGCTATTAGAGACACGGGTCACCAGTTGACTAAAGACCAGATAGAGGCTATATTTCAGGCTTTCGACACGGAAGGTTCAGGAAACATGAGCACTACTGAATTCATCGCCGCGATGAGGCCCAATATGTCCGACACTAGGAAGAAGTCGATAAATGAGGCCTTTGATAAGTGCGACAAGGCTAAAGCTGGAGTTATCACGTTAGAAGAATTGCGTGGGATATGCAGTGTTCGGGCTCATCCGAAGTACAGAAGCGGTGAAATGACCGAAGATGAGATCTTGCAAAAGTTCATGACTAACTTCGAGAAAGGAAGCATCGATGGAAAGATAACAAGAGAAGAGTTCTTCAACTACTACGCTGGCGTCAGCGCCTCTATCGACACTGATGCCTACTTCGACCTCATGTTGCGGCAGGCATACCGATTGTGAATATCTATTACACAGTATTTCATCGGAGAGTTTCGGATTTTTTCTGATGTAGATTGATAAAACCTTCTACAGTAGATCAAATGAAATAATAAAATAAAAACCTCTTCTGAAACAGGATTTTTAATTATGCTTATATAATCTTGGTTAATTTGTTAAAATACTATTAAGTAAATAGTTATATAGGATATTCGCTCCTGGTCCTCTTATTTTTCCTCTTTTATTGTTTTGTCATGCATATCAATGCTCAGTTTCTTTATCACAAGGAGCTGTTTTCTCTATCTGTCTTGCATAACCTCACCTCTAACTTTACCTAACTAGGATAGTAGAATATGTTACCAAGACTCGTAGACTAAGTTTAAGTTTAGTACCTGTTGGTATAGCCTCCATATATTTCAGTGTTTCTCGATATACCCTCATTATACATACTGGACGGTACCATCTTGGATATCGTTTCTAGCGTCAAGTTATTTAATTTAAGTTATTTATTTTTAAAAATATTTTATAAAATTTGTACCTGCGCATCTAGCAAAACTGATGTATTAGCCTTTTGCGAATTTCCTTGATAACCTTTTTCTTTTTTTTTTTGCTTATTATATTTCTTGATTTTTTTCACTAAATTTAAATTCAGTTTACATAATTTTAATTAGAACTATAATAAAACTCCAATGATCATTTAGGGTAGAGACTGCAAAGAGATATATCACAAAATTAATTTAATTAAATTTTTGATAAAGGAGATGCACTATAATGTCAGGAAAACAGGAAATATAGAAGAAAAAAAATGGCTTTGTTTAAAACAGTATTTATGCCTGTCCTTTTCTGTGGTGCAGAAAGTTGAGCGGTCCTGGACAAACATGCAAGTAAAGTAACGGCCTATGAAATGAGATACCTCAGGAAAATTCTTGAGAAAACATGAAGAGACCTGGAGGAACGAGAGGTACAAGATAGGAACTGAATACAAGGTCTGTTAAACAAGTCATAGAGGAGCGCCAACTGAAATTATTTAGCCACGTGTATCGGATGGGCGATAACCGAATGGCAAAATGGTTTCTAGAAGCAAAACCAAAGGGTAGGCGACCTATAAGCAGGCCCAGATTATTGTACAATGATGTACATGGAGAGACTCGGGCGAGCCAGAGGTAGCACAATGGTGGATATAAGGCCTGTGACACGGACAGTGAACGAGATGGGCTGAGGCTGTTTCCACAAGATGATGGCACTAAGGAGGTGGTATGAAGAAGAAGAAGAAAGGAGATGATCCGGGCTGAGGTTCGTACAAATACTTAAAACAGTGAAACAAATATTTTTCAACTATCTTAATATTTATTATTATTTCTTATTTCTATTTTACTGTTATTTTTAGTCTTTTTATGATTGCCACCCCGGGCCATTTCCTTCCTCAATATCATATAATGGTCAACCATCAAGTATTCAATTAAATTAAATTTAGTATTTATTTTATCTATTTATTATTCCTCTGAATGTTTTATTTTCTATTCACATCGTTTTACAAGCCGTCCTACTTCAGATAATATATGCATTTCACTTGTGATGAACCACAATAAACCAAAAATTACCGAAATACACGGAGGTGTTTCCATTGAAAAAATTGGATTCGACTTTGTTTACGATTGTAATACTCTAACTAAATATTCTATTTATGAGGCAATATCAGGGAAAATGTTAGATAGTATAAAAAATAACTGTCATCATGTTTTTCCATCGTATAAATGCATGCTAAAAATAATAAAACTGAACATTATTAAAGCCTTGATAAAATCCAACAGAGCTTAATACTTGCTATTTATAACCTTTATAATCAACAAAGTAACATTCTAAGGACAGTAAAAATACACTCCTAAGAACTGGAATCAAAACAAGGGATGCAACAAGGAAGAGGTCTTGAACTAAACAACCATTTGCTGCCCTGGTCCTCAGAATGGTGCCACAATGAATCAGGGAAAAGCTTGAAAACTTCAGCTGCGAATGAAAGTGGCTGGTTTATTATTGGTTCAGAATAGTATTTCAACATTTGAAAAATATACAAAAATGGTACATACAAAAAAAATGAAATAAAAACCTTTTGGAAAATGTGATAATGAATCTTTGTTTATAATATCTCTATGTATAATATCTCCATATCTCTATGGAGGAAATTTATCCTTATGGTATTTATTTACTAACTAATTATTTTAGTAATAACTAGCTGATGTACCCGTAGTTGACGTGTGTATAGTTAAAATTTGAGAATCTTTTTTGAGACGGATTTTGAATTATAGGGGGGGGGGGGGAGGAGGGGTCCAAATGTAAATTAATAAAATTAGGTTGGGGGAGGGAGGGTTGTTTTGAATCAAACTTCAACCTGGACAGATCTATTCCTGAGGGCTTCTTCAGACCTAGCTTTCCTTTTAAGTTTGGCTGCTTTGGAAATTGAGCTTAAATTGGACTCTTTTTTATGAATTTTTATCAATCCATGGAAAATATTTTAAAACCAAGTTTGAAAAAATCCCACACAATTTGTCTGCAGAAAAAAAAGAGAATTCGGTCTGCAGAAAATATTATAAAAATAAGCTTTCAATCAAATATACGAAAATAGTAAATCAGTAATTCAAGTAAATATCAGTAATCAGAACCTATTCAAATCCAAAAGTTCCAAATATTTTCGGTTTTTATCAAGGGTTAGGTCCTTATAGTTTAACTGTTGGTAGTATACTGAGAATGATAGAGGGGCAACAAACGAAAGAATGGAGGGGGAGATAGGAAGGTAACGGAATGGGGTGGGACAGACCGTATTCTGTTTCTTTGCTCTTTTCAGCGCAATCGAAATAATTTCAATATCATAAAACTTGTTCCTAGTGGGCGGGGTGGTCGAATGGGCTAACGCGTGTGCACTGCACCGCCGTTACCCGGCAACCTGATAAATGAATCAAAGATATAAAAATAGACACGAGTTCGCGTCCCGGTGCCGGGGGAGTCTTTTAAATATCCGCTCACACCCCCTGGCCCGGGAAAATCTCGTATAGCCTTAACGGCGAGGAAGGGAAGGACAAAAAAAAAAAAAAAACTTGTTCGTAAATTTAATTGTTCCCAGTTGATTCCTAGTTAATTTCAATTGACTTGTAATAAATTGTAAGATTTAGATTAAACGAATTCAAACCGCCAATCATTTCTTTTCATTCATTCAAATTGTTACTGGTAGATAAAAACTTAATTAATATTTCATCCGCGTTTTCAAATACCTAGTAAATTACTATCAGACAAAAAAAAAAAAAAAAAAAAAAGAATTCTTTTACGCATTTAGATTTTGTTTATGTTCCTTGGCTGACAACGAATATGATAGTAGAGCTATTGAGTGAACAAGTTTAGTCGACATTTTGGCCACGTATTATTTCTGTGAAACGCGTAGTAACCTAGGTGAAGGCGATTAAGCGAACCAGCGTGACTTGGGCGCTCAAGTGTGGTAGGATGTCGGATTTTTCCTTAGAGAGTAGGGTAAAGTATTTACTTTTTCTATAAATTCAACACCCAAGGTAAAAGTTTTTTTGTCTAAACGGCCATTCCACATGTTTAATCTTAAGAAAAAATGACCATATTTATTTGACTTGGCGAACTTGAAGGACATCTCGAGCAGATAAATGGATAAACCTAACTATTGAATGTTTAAACAGCGCGTCGATGATTAAGCGGAACTCCGAGATTTTTTTTTTTTTCCGCTGGGTTCTGAATCAGGATCTCAAGAAAAAATACTCAATTATTCATAACTTTGGTTCTACGCAATATTTTGTTTTTACTCAAAGCCTTTTTTAAGTCAAACAAACCTAAATATAATGTAAAAATGTCAAAAGTCTGCTTTAGCATATGTTTATCGATGGTAAAATAACATTGGGCATTGAGTCACCTACATTCGTGTAAAATTATAACTTGATGTTAATATTGTGACGATTGTAATTAAGTATGCATTTTGAAGGATTTTTTTTGTTAATATTTTCTTTTTTTTTCTTTTATTTACTTATAATTTATTTTTTTGTTTGCAACGAATTTCTGTATTTTATTTTATTTTAACTGTTAATTACATTTACTTGGTTTATTATACATTTTGCCTTTCCTATATAGATGTATATTTTTTTTAAATTTATTTATTTTATTTTTTTATGTAATTGTATATATATATATATATAGTATGAATGTGCCTCACTCAGCTTTAGTACTCAGTGCCCTCAAGTGTGGCAAAATGTATTATTTCTCAACAAAAAGATATAAAAACAAAATAGTTTGTGGCGGGGTGGAATGTTTTGTTTTTCCGTATTTCCGGCTAATCCTTTTGGTTAATCCTAAAAATGTATATGACAACATTCGTTAGGCTTAGGAAGTTGAATCGAATGACACCTTGAACAGGGAGATAGGACAAAGTTAAAAAATGAGTGTGTTTAATCCATGTTTTAAGCGACAACGCCTTACAGATGTTCGGGGTTCCGGATTTTTCCCGTTGAGTTGTGATAATTTTTTCCATCGGTGAATAGTAAAACTTTTAAATGTGGCTCGCGGTAGGGTAGGTTGGGATGAGAATCGAAGTAAGTAACTGCCTAGCCGGAATCTCTAGGCAAATTACTCACGAATTCAGAACTTTAATTCTACTCAATATTTTGTTTTAATTTAAAGTTTATGTTTTAAGTCAAGTGAACCTAAATATAATTTCAAAATTTTAAATGTCTACTATCAGCCATTGCGGAGCTTACCCCTGACAAAATTTTGTTGAACAATGCGGACATACAGAAAGACAAAAACATTTTTAAAAGTGGATGTGGATTTGGATGAAACGGAAATATTTCATGAAACGGTTTGATTCTATTAAATATACAGACTAAACCTTTATTTTATTTATATAGATATTCACATTTACGTGGAACGAATTCTACCAAATGTGGTGTTTTATTTTTACTATATTAAAAAACAAACCTTAAATAAATTGATATGCGATTAAAGCTTATTAAACAAGGAAATTTGTAGAGGAAATAAAATTGGGCTATCTGTAGTATAGTTTTAGGATCATAAAAAAAACGCTTGTAATCCAGGATTTAAGGAAATACACTACTTAGCGTAGTTTGGCCACTA